ATACGGTCACTGAGCAAGCAGACAAACTTTCCGTAACTACATGCGCTGAGGCTGTTGGATGCCACCACTCGTATGGTTGGCTCCAGTGATCGGAATTGCCACCATAGTCTGTTGTGGAAAAGGCTGCATTTGGATCGGTACTTGTCCGTTTCCTATTTGATGATATTCATAGTATGACTAAAAAATAAAATAAAACATCCAGTTGATTAATGAGAAAGAGAAGGTAAATGGGCCGGACCGGAGGGAGAAGGGAAGGAAAATGGGATTGGAGGAAAGGAGAAAGGAACGAGGGAGGGGGATGAAGGGAAAAGAAGAAAAGAGGAATGAACGGGAGGAACATGGGAAGGGAAGAGAGATATGGAGAAAGAAAAAAGAGAGAAAAAGAGTGAGAAATGGAAGGGAGATATAGGAATAAACTGATGGATAAAGAAGGAAGGGGAAAAAAGAGAGCAATTGATGCTAAAAGAAAGGAAGAGAAGAATAGGGTGACAAATGGAAAAAAAAGGAAAGACGAAAGGGGTAGAAGGGAAAAGAAACGAAGGAAGAGAGGATTGAAGGAGAGGGGAAGGAGAGGAAGAATTAAGGGGAGCAAGGAAAAAAAAGGAAAACTGTGGTAATGGAGGAAAGACGAATAGAGGTGGAGGATGAAAGGAACGGAGGAAGACAGGAAATAAGGGAGGTGTACAGGGAGGTATGGGAGGAGGAGAAAAGGGAGAGAGGAATGGAGGGAGATGGAAGGGAGGAGAGAAAAGGGAGAAAAAAAGAGAGTTAGCAATACAGAACGAAAGGGAGGAAGGAAGGGGAGGGAAGGAAAGAAGGAATGGAGGGAGAAAAAAGGAAGCAAAAGAGGGATAAATGGAAGAGAGACGTAGGAAGAAACTAAAGGACAAAGAAGGAAGGGAAAAAGAGAAAAATTGAGGCTGAAAGAAAGGGAGGGAAGAATAGGAAGAGAAATGGAAAGGAGGAAAGACAGAGGGAGAGAAGGAGAAAGAAACAAAGGAAGGGGAGGCGAGGAAGAACTAAAGGGAGCAAGAAAGAAAAGGAAGAACAAAAGGAGAAACGTGAGAAGAAAAACTGCGGGAATGGAGGGAAGACGAAAAGAGGTGGAGGTTGAAAGGAACGGAGAGAGACAGGAAGTAAGGAGGGTCTTTATGGAGCTATGGAAGGAGGAGAAAAGGGAGGGAGGAATGGAGGGAAGAAAAGAGAGGGAAAAGGTGAGTTAGGAATGTAAAGCGAAAGGGAGGAAGGAAGGGGAGGGGAGAAAAGAAGGGATGGAGAGAATGAGAAAGGGAGAGAAGGTGAGACGAAGGAAGGTGAAGGAAGTCGTGCAAAAGCAAAATACAACGAACAGGAGGAGTAACGACGGAAAAAAGAGGAAATAAGATAGGATTTCCGTATGCGTTTCTAGACTTCAATGCCATATTCGATAAATGATTTTTTTCCCAAGTAATGCAACATACCTGATTTTCCTGCGGTGACTGACGCCCAGCATCACTGCTCCGAGCCATCGCCACGGCGAGAATGATCTCAGC